TTAGAGTCCCCCTGGCACAGCCCCGCTGCAGTGCGGGGTAGTGCAGCTCAGCCCCAGCTCCAAGCCACTCAGGGTGTCACCTGGGGCCCCACACCACTCATGAGGACTGCGTGTCACACTGGGCAAGGTCTTGTGTCCACAGAACCAGCCTGGCCTGATGGTACGCAGGACCCATGCCCACAGGACCTGTACCAGCAAAACACATGGTTCCTGGAAGCAGTGCCAGGCCCTGGGCCCTGGGTGATAGCCCAAGCTGCCCAAAGGCTCATAGCCCCACACTGAGCCAGACTGGGCCCACGTGATGTGGCACAGGCAGCACCAGTTGACACACAGCTGGAGCCGAGCTACGCTGCTCTGCCCCCTGGGAGGAGCTGTGCCAGGAGGGCCCTGAGAGCCCCAATGCCCACTGCTGCTGGGAGAGGGGATGTGGGCCATGTGGGGTGGGGCATGTACCCTGTCAGGGGCGCTGTGGCCCATGCAGAGGGAAACTGGAACCTGTGCTGGGGCTGTGGGCCCTGTGGAGGGCAGTCCACATGCTGTGTGGAGGGACTGCACCCTGTGGTGGGAGCAGGGGACCCACCCCTCCTGAGCAGCCTCCCCCACACCCCACCACACCCACAGTCCCCTCATAATCCACCCACAACACCCACATCCCCAAGCCACCCCCACAAACCCCTCACCCAGATACCCAGCCACAAACCCTACACCCATCCACAAACTTCCCTAACCCCCCACCCCTCCAAATTTCTTTACACTTGTAAATATATCAATAAACCTTTGTCCAGCTGATCTCTCTGTATATAATGGTGTTTCATTTTAGTAGTGGAAAAACAGCATTTTGGGTATTTTAATGAGAGAATTTAGGTTTCTTAGCAGAGTATTTGCAATTTTTAAGCAGGGAACACCAGGATCTCTGCTGGTGAGACAAGCGGCGAGACTCAGGCAGAGGAGCCTGTCCAGGGCCAGCACTGGGGACCCAACAGGAAAGCAGACAAGGTAGCTGACCTTTTGGCCATTTGGGGCCAAGAGGACCAGCTTTGACATTTCAAAGCGGGCCACTGCAAGAAGCACGTCCTCTGGGCTGCTCAGATGGCACAGTGGGGGCACCCCATCCAGGTCTGCCAGGGGCACAGCCATGGGGCCACAGGTTCAAGGGGGTGGATGCTGTCACAGATGGCAGCAGGTCACAAGCAGCAGTCCCCACTGCCAGACTGCTGCAGTGGGTAGAAGGTGTAGGGGCCACTCCAATTTAGGGCTGCTTCAGGAGTCCAGCTGGCACAAGGGGTAGTGTCCTCAGATACCAACTGGGTGGGCCTCAGAATCTCTTGTCTATTTATATCTTCCAGAGATCATGGGCCTTAAGGCCCACCTACTTAACTAATAGCCCCCACTGTGTGGGGCCAAGGTTTGAAAGATACAAATGATAATTTTTTTTTCTGTGGGACAACTAAGGAAAAGAGTAGGAGTATTTTGGGGGTCAAAGGTTCAAAATGTGAAAAGAAGTTCTCCAGAGGGGAACACCAAGCAGAGCCCCCCAGGCACACGCACCAGTCCTTAAAGGCATTCAAGGAGCTGATAGATACTACCCACTGGTGCTTTGCCTGGAGACATACACAAACAAGGGAAAGGAAAGCAGCCCCACAGTCTCTGGGCACCTTCCTGGCCAGAGCCCCCTTCCTGGTTAAATACAGGGCCCACTTGGCTAGGGCCAGGAAAACGTTGACCAGAAGGTCCCAGGACTTGGTGGGACCGCAGATGGGGTGACCAAAAACAAAAAGGTGGGGGGTGAAATTCAATCAGAACCTCAGGAGGAGGTTCTGGAGGTGGATGTGGAGGGGCTGCAGCCTGGCACACTCAAAGGTCATGTGCGCCAGGGTCTCCCTATGCCCACAGAAGGGGCAGGAGACCGAGCTGTCTATGAAGCTCACCACATACACATCTGTGGTGATGGCTCCATGAAGGAGCCACCAGCTGAGGTCCCCAGTGGTTTGTGGAATGAGGGTGGAGTACAGACTCAGCCACTGGGGTGCCCCAGCCATGCCCTCAACAAGTAGGTCCTGCCACTTGGTGTCTGAGTGGGAGGCAAGAGTGTCATGATGGATTGTGGCACATAAGCATGTAGAGGTGACAGCGATGGACAGTGGAAAAGTGGACTGCTCTGGTATCCTCCAGCTGACTTAGGTGGTGGAATGGGGAGCACCATGAGGCCAGGCAAGGTTCCAGCCCCATGACAAACTCTGGTGGGCTGGAAGACACAGAGGAGCAGGGACCACCACTACTCAGGACCTGGCTGACAGGGACAAGGGTGTTGGAAGGTAGGGCAGATTTCACCTCCTGGACTAGATGGCAGGCCACACGTGTTGTGGGTAGACCCATGCAGCGAGCCAGCACAGAGGGGTCTGCCCACTCATGCCTATCTTAGTCCAGGAGGTCTTTGATATGGGTGACACCAGCCAGGATCAACCTCTGTCGCAACCAGGGCACCTCTGCTGTTGGTACCTCCAGCTGGGGGTTCCAAAGGAGGGGCTCAACAAGCAGGCCAGTGCCCTGGGCAAGTATTGCAGGGGACCTGGAGGTGGATACCAGCCTCCAGGCCTGGAGGAGGTCCTTGTAGAACTCCAGCAACCCTCACAGGTCCTGCAGGGACAAACCCCGCAGGCCAAGGAGCTGCCATTCATATTGTAGCCCCTGAAAGTGGTGGAGGAAGGAGCACCCCAGGTGGCCCTATGTTGCATGGCTACTGATACCATATAGCAGTCACTGCAGGGCATGAAGGTGGAACATCAGGACCTGGCTGCAGATGCAAACCAGGCCCTGGCTGCCCTCCCGTGAGGGGAGGCTAAGGACCTCCACAGTGACCTAGTGCCATCCTGGCCAGAAAAGCTCCAGCACGCATCTCTGGAGCCTTGCCAGGACACTGGATTAATGACACTGTGGGGGACAGGAGTGAGGCCAACTGCCACCCGCTACCAGGCCAAAGCTCTTGACACAGTTGACCAAGGCAGAGGAGGCCACCGAGTACAATCCCTAGCAGGTCTCCACCTGCACCAAGTTGCCTGAGTCCTGGACCATGAGGAGTACATTGTCAGCATACGCTGACAGGACCAGCAGCAACACTGGCTCCTGGAGCATCAACCCCACCACCCGCAGAAGAATGAGGAAGGGCTCCAGGGCCAAGGCGTACAACTGACCTGACAGTGGGCAGCCTTGACACACCCCTCTCCTGAACGCGATGGTTTCTGTCAGGGTCCAGTTGAGCTTGACCAAACTCCATGAAGAGGTGTACAGCACCTGGAGAGTGTACATGAAGCGGGGCCCAAAGCCAAAGGCCCACAGTGTGCCTGTGAGGTACCCATGATCCACTCTGTCAAACACCTTCTTCTGATCCAGGGATAGGAGGGCAAAAGACAGGCCCTTCTGGTGCACTAGCTCCAGGAGGTCCCGAACAAGGTACAAGTTGTCGAAGATGGAATGTCTGGACACTGTGTACATCCGGTTGGAATGGATCATGTCCATCAGCATGGACCTCAGGCACAGTGAGATGGCCTTCACTGCCACCTTGTAATCCATGCAGGGGCGGGACATAGGACGCCAGTTATTCAGGTCGTGGGGATCCCCCTTTTTGGTAGGAGGGTCAGCACAGCCCTCTGGCATGACAGGGAGAGTTCCCTACTTCCCTCAGATTTGGCCAAGACCACAGTGCCAACTACCCAAGCAAGAGAACCTTCACTTTGAGACCTGGATGCAGGCCCTGACTTGGGTGGTGGGGGCCCCCAAGATCATGGCGACCCCCTGCTTCCATGGCAAGGGTTTTTTTTTTCCTTGCCTCAGAGGCTGCCACACAAAAGGCAGAAGAGATGGGGGCCATGGTGGAGGGCGAGTACATCCCCATCAAGCCCCTAGAAGAGCTAGGGAGCTGGGTGGTCCTCAGTTCCATTCCTCCCTATATCCCTAATTGGGCCCTGCTCTCTCATCTCCAAACCCTGGGGAGGGTTATCTCCCTGGTGGTGGCCCTCTCACTGGGGTGCCAAGACCCCAGCCTCCGCCATGTGCGCTCTTTCTACCCCCAGGTCATTGTCCATTCAGCATATACAGAGCTTGGGTCACACAGCGCTGAGCTGCATCACTGCTGGCTGTGCCTGCAGCTGGGCCATAGCCATGCTGGCTGCTGCCATTGGCACCGCAGGGGGTGTGGGGGGCAGGTATGCAGCCCCTGCTTAAGACCCTCCACAAACCCACCCACAGACCGCACATCCTGCCCCACCACTGTCCACACCCTCAGCCTCCCTCGCCACTCCTCATCCCCCCCCTTAATCCCCCTGCCACTCCTTACACTTCCCCATCCCTCTGCCACTCCTCACACCCACCCACAGCCCTAACCCCCACACAACCCAATGTCCTTAACTTACCCATGACATTGCCTGGGGCAGCAGGAGCACCATAGAGATGTTCTGACCAGAAAACAGAGCGTTTCTCTAGAGGACTGACTCCTGGGTTACCTGCCCCACTTTTTTCACCCGCATTTTATTTTGGTACCTGGATTTCCAGGTACCACATTTTGAGCCTGCACTGCAAATATGCAGTGCAGGGAATGTATTTTTGTTCCCATCATGCATCTTGTGGCATCTCAGACTTCTTTGAGACTGTGAGAGGCATGTGAGGGTTCATCTGGATGCACCCAGTGGGTCTATTTTAATTTACTGGACCATATAGGCTTTATTTGGAATGTGTTTCACAACCTTTACAAATGTTACGCATCTCTGTTAAAAATTTTCTATACTTTCTGTTCCCAACTGAAAATAATTTTTTGGAATAGGACTTTGTCTTCCACTGTCAGTAGAAATCTGTGTTTGCTATAAAAGGAGATTTAAGAAATGAAATGCATGCTTTTGTCTTTTTCTTAACTATGGCAAAAGAAATGCGCAAGAACAAATGGTGATATTTTACATGATTTTTTTTTTATTCTAATGTTTTCAAAATCAAAGTAATTTCCAGAAAGTGCACCACAAGATATGCTCAGGAAAGCCCCACTGAAAGCAATAGAAGGAGAAATTTAACAATGAATAATATGATGTAGATTTTCTTTTTCTTTTTTTTTAAGAGACCAAAGGCTAAATCCCAGGATATTATTCAGACAAGCAGTCCTGAAATGGAAATAGGGGCTGCACACCAAAACTATTGAGATTCAGCCCTCAGGTGAAGTCCTGAATATATGAGCATAATGTGGGCAGCTCTGTTACAGAGAAGGAAAAGTTAACCGTGCAAGATTTGCTCTCAATATATTTTGAAAGGTTCAATTGCAAATATTTAGATTTTAAAGGATCCCCCCCCCCAAAATTTAAATGTAACACCCAATATGAATTTCAACTCTTCTGCGTAAATTAAGTTCCATTAAAAAGCATTGCTGTCACCACCTTGACAGTATTTCTTCTTATCCAGATCCTTGTGTGCTTTATCATACTTTGCTTTTGAAAAACATATTGCTGCTGCTCTGTCACACTCACAGACATGCATCTCACAAGGGTCGTTGTCAGCTTGAAAAGGATTAAAATAGGTAATGATCGATAAAAGTAGGAGAGAGAGAGAGAGAGAAGGAATTCAGTTATTTACCAGTTACTTCCATGAGTCACAAATTTCCCCCCTGACTGTAGGATCTGTTTAATTAGGGGTCTGATTCTACCTCCCAAGTTAGGAAGTAAGATAGAAAAATGTGATTAGAAATGGCAAAATCTGTTGTGTTGCCTTTTGCTACCTTGTGACAAAAGGAGAGGTCCCTGCTTCTGAAAGCCTCAAGATTTAATCCACGTTGATATACCTCTGAAGAAATCACATTTATTGCCTCCTCTGTGCTGTTGTCTCACCTATTAATTACATTCTATGGTTATCCTTCCTTCCATGAATTTCTCAGATGCACAGTTGTTACTGACAAATCTGCCTTCTCCCCCCTTTCCCCACCTCACCCAATCTCCCAGAAGTAAGATAGCAAAGTAAAGAATGAAGGCATACTCTCAAACTTTCTAGTCATAAACCACTGAAGTTCTAGAAGAAGAGAGGCAGGAAGACCTAGACTCAACACAATTAGGCAGCCTGTGTAACCAAGGAAGTGCAGTAACTCAGGCCCAAACCTTCAAATGTATAAGTGCCTAACTCCATTGAAATCAGTGGGTGTTAGGCACTTACATACCTTTGAGGATCTGGGCCTTGGTGATAAAATGTATAATTCAATCTGAACTTGTCTAGCTCATGATTTTTTCCTATTAATATAAAGCCTTCATTGCCACATGCCTCATTACTTTTTGGTAAATTCTTTACATTGGTAAGAGGGGGATAGAAAACAAGCCCCTTTTCTGCAGGAGGTAGCCCAAATAAATCATATTAATAGTTCTCCCATCTCTCTAATGATTGACAGGAATTACTTCAAGGAGGCATATTCTTTCCTCCAAAAAATGCCACTCCTCACAGAAGATTGTTTTCTGATTGACAAGGAATCAACCAGTGGGTACAGTTGTGAAACATGGTACCAGTTCAACAGTGCATGAAAACACTGAATAGTTTAGTTCTACAAAGGAAGAGCATCTTATTCAAGAATCAAGAACTGCTGACGGTATGCATAAAATCAGAATGTGTACCTGATGCATTTGGGCTATCAGCCCCATCACTAGGAAAATTGTGATAGTTTAACTACTATAATCAAACCATAACCTTCACTTTGCTGTCTTATCAAACTCATATGGAATTACCAATTATGTTCCAGCATGCCTGTTTCATTTCTCAAGAGTATCTTACTGTTATGGACACCATCACATTTTCATCCTAATTCAGTATCATTTTAAATGTTAAAATAATGTTTACAAAATGTACAGTATTTATTTAATCAAAATGGAATCATTCAAAAATCTTCTTTTATACAACTGGGAGCATCACTAACGAAAGGAAATAGACTAAATATTGCTGACGACAAAATGTCAAAAGAAATCTCAAAAAGAGAATGAAATTATTGCTCCAGGAGGTTTTTCCTTAACGGTAGGATTGGGGTCAGTGTTCCTAGGCAAAAGGATGCATAGACATGAAAGGGGCATTTTAATTCAGGACTTCACGGTTCAAATAAGTGATTAAGTAAATATTGTACAGTCCTAATTGCTGTGGTGATATTATATGCATCTCTGCCAGGTTATAAGCTCTGTAGGCAGGTTGGGAATGTATCATTTTCTGTATTCGTCCAGTACATAACACCATGAGGTAACATCAAATGTATGCAAATACAATAACATATAAGTGTTTGAAGGGAAGTATTGACCCTTGAAATTAATTTTATTTTGGATATGCTAATCAGGGGGAAAAAAAAGGATCAAAAGCCAGGAACTTACCATTACAGGTGATATTTGGTCCAGAGCAGGAATATGAATAGATCTGAGTATATGGGTTGTGGAACAGAGAATGGCAGTTTGGAACAGTCTCAGCCTGAGAATAGCAATTATCGTGGGTTTGACAGCACCTGGAGAAAAATGGTTGACATACTAATCATTGAATTGTAATCTCCCCCTCCCCACCAACAAAAACAAAATTTCTCACAAAAAAATTCCTTTTCAGTGTATTTTAAAGGAAAGGCAACTTCTGGAAACAAGATTTTGAGGTTATCATTGGGCTTTGTTCTTACAGGTTAAGTTCTCTCTGAAGAACGTTTCGGATTAGATATCACCCCATATTTTATCTGTTGTCTGCGTAAATCCTTTTACCAGAACTGATCAGAAATAGCAAAGAATTGCCTTGGAATTTAAATGGAAAAATTCCATCAAACCCTGCCTATTGCTTAACAGCCTACTAATCTGGTCATGTTGGATGTTGGGAGCCAGCACCATCAGAGCTTCTAGGTCCCCTGATCACTTTAGCCTTCACTAGGCCCGGCTACCATGAGGTGGTGGATCCTGGAGCTGTGAACTGTTACTGATATTTGTCACTCATTGCTGTCCACTAGCATCAGTAAAATAGACCAGACTGTTATGTTCCCAGGGTCCTTAGGGAGGAAAGCTATTTATTTCATTTTAGGAACACCATATTTCCACATATCTGAAAGAAACCTTGTGGAATCTTAGTTCCACGAAAAGAGTTTGGGGAAGGTTGTCCTGTTTAGTATGTGGGTAGAGTATTTCTAAACTCAAATTTGCTTGGAACTGAAATTCACTTTCCCAGAAAACCTACTCTTGGCTGAGAGAGATGCTGAGCAGTCAGATTTCAGCATTTGGTACTGAAGCTCTCACTGAGAGCACAACCATTTCAGAGAGCTTGCAATTAGCACCTACTAAGTACAGAGATTCTAATACAGGCTGTGTGGTGGTCACACCCCTCCCCCCCCCTCACCTTACTTTCCTGGTGAGATAACAGAATTTTTTTAAAAAGACACCTAAGTCTAACCTCCCTTCCACCAAGTGCTAAAAATTCCTCATAGTTGACTGAAAGAAACACTGTTTTTTTTTAAAAACAAAAGAATTCAAGAGGAGAGGGTTCCTTATGGTGCAGACAGAAGTGCAGCTCCCCACTGTAACAGAGTGCTGTGCAGGAAGCATTCTGAGTGACAATGATCATCCCCCTGAACAAAGAAGTTCACTGTTGATTCCAGGGGCAAGGGAAAACTAGCTGCAATACATCTGCCCCACCCTCCAATGGGGCTGAAAACTCCCCAGATCAAACTCCCTCTGCTCCCTTCCCCCCTCCCATTCTGAAAACAGCTTGAGGCAGGCAGGCAGGGCAGACAGAAGTTACACAAATCACTGTTTTGAAATGCCTTCATCTGACCCCTCATGCAATAAGGGTTCAGATTTTTGCCTAATCGGCAAGGCTGTGTGAAGCTTTGGTGTCTGATTCAATTCAGAGGAGATTCAGTCCAATTCAGTGGGTTCCCTGCACGCTCAACAGAGGACCCCCCCTCCCCCAAACCCGGCTTGGTGACTGATGTCTCCTGGGTCTAGGAAGGCTCCCAGGGTTCCCCCCATGGGCGATTGCTGAGCAGGGGGCCCCCCCGCACTCCCATGGGATGCTCCATCCACCCCACCATAAGTGTCCGCAAGCTGTGCCTGGTACCTCAAGGTACATAGAAAAAAAACATATAAAGCTGTGTCTATGGCTGAATCATTGTTTCTCTGAATCAGAATCAAATCTTCAGATTCAGATTCAGTTGAATCGAATCACTGGCCCCCGAATCAGGCAAATCCAAATCAAATACTGCCCACTTTGCACACCCCTACTGATCAGCCATTCTTTAAGCTGTCTGTCATGGCTCTAGGCTGCTTTCTCTGGCCAGATTGGGTGAAAATTGTCACTTCCATTTGCGCCCTTTATTACCAGAGGAACCAACTCAAATAGAAAGACATTGAACTATTTATTTCTAAAAATGAAAAGCTCTAAGCAATATTGGTTTGGTCCCCAAAAAATTCAGATTCAGCAGCAACAGTTAAGGGCAATGTGCCCAGTCTTTTTTAAGTGTTTTTAATCATTGTTCTTATCAACCTTTGCTCTGTCCCCTTTTAATTTTTTCCAGTGGTCTTTTTCAGTATAGACTGAAAAGCATGAGTTCCCTGGCTTATTGAAGTAACTCATGTGGAAGAGAAACAATCCTGTTGTAAGGAGTGACCTAGAAACCACTATGCAAAGACGAAGCAGAAGAGAATGTTATGTGACGAATGCCCATCTGCAATGATAAGGAGGAGACAGTCTTAGATAAAGGAGGCTTGAAAACAAAATAAGAAACAGAGTACTGGGTTATAGGGCTCATTAAAATACTAAAAATCACGCCCCTAGGTGGGGAAAAAGTATGCTAATGAAACATACATGTATGTAAATGAGATACATGGCTAAAACACAGGTATAGAGACATGCTCAGTAAAGAACTCCTTGCGTCACTCCTTTATAACCAATCAGCAAACAAGGATGCTTATGAAGG